TGAGAGCGCGCGCCCGCGGCCCTCTCCCTGGCGGGGCGTGCGGCGCGGACAGTCTCGGAGTCAGCGACCAAGTTCTCTGGCGATGAGAAGGCGAGCGCCCTCAACTGTTAGGTCCTTCTTGAGTGGGCGCTCTCTCGCTGCTGTCAGCATGCTCAATGATGACCCTTGCTGGCGTGCTGCGCGTGCGCCGCTGCTGAGGTGGAGCAAAAAGATACGGTTGGCCCAGACTCGTGGTCACCCTTTCTCCCTGCAGCATCCTGAATTAAGATGTAATTGGCAGTATGTCTCTGCTCTCCCTTTTTTTACTTGGCCCACTTTGCGCGGCCCCCCCTCGGTGCTTCGGCTCGCGCTTGTGCGCCTAGGCTGGGCCATGGGCAACTACGCCACGATTGCGGACGGTCGCGGTTGTACTTTAGTCTGGGCCTGACCCCCCCCCCCCCCCCCCCATCCCCATGGGGGCCCCCTGCAAGGGCGCCGATCACAGGGGCCTCGCGAGGGACTGGGGGGGGGGGGAAATGGGACATGGATTGCAAGGTTTCCCTTGGCGCCCCCAAAGCGGCCACCAACAGTAAAACATTCGCCCCCGCTCAGAGAGGGTGGTCGAGGGCCTGCTCTTGCGATGCCATCTGGACTGCGGACAAGGCACTAGCGCGCGGGTATCAAGTTGACGAGCTTTGCTCACTCTGTCGGCAAGTGCCAGACAGCATATCCCACCGCTCGCGGCAGTGCTCTTCCGGCGCGGCGGGGCAGCTGCGAGCTCAGCAGGCCCCTGCCTCGGTTGTCTCGGACTCTGCGCTAGTCTGGGCAGCTGGCGCCGACAGACACGCGGTCGCCCTCTATAACCGTGGAGCTCTCGCTCATCCCGCCGATGTCTTGCCGCGTCCTGCCGTGGAAGGCACCGGCGCCTTGCTGCGCGCTTGTCATGTCGACGAGCTTCAGAGTTCCGAGGGCCCCGTGGCCCCCGCCAGCGGTGCGACGCGGGGCCACCTCTTCCTTGATGGGTCCTGCCAGCGCCACGTAGTTCGCGAGCTGCCCCGTGCTGCTTGGTTTATATCTATGAATTCGGTTGACGGGAAGTGCCTCGGAGAGGTTCGAGGACCAGTCTGGGCCCACTTTCCGCAGACACCGCAAGCTGCTGAATACACGGCTCGCTGTGTTGTCGCCAGGTTTGCGTGCTACCCCTCGGTCCTTTAAAGTGACTGTGCCAGCGTAGTGCACCACTCGTTGCTGCCGCTGCCTGAGCGCTACCCAGGCAGGCGATCGCATGCTGGAATGATCTTAATGCAAGCAACGTAGAAGGTGATATGATTGAGTCCATTGTCAAAGTCAAGGCACGCCGTGACGTGGGCGAGGAAGGCATTTCTGCTCGTGAATAGTGTTTGCGTTTAGGCAATCGTGATGCAGATGCTGGGGCCAAGCATGGCCTACAACTTCACCCAACAGATGCTGCCAGCAATCTAGATGTAGACGCTCTGGTCACTGTAGCTCGGGCCTACTGCATCCGAGCTGCCAATGTGCTGCCGCTGTGGCCTAAGTTGTCGCTTGATGTCCCCTGTGTGCCTGCGCCTGCCGTCCCAAGCCAGGCCAGGATCTCACGCGCCTGGAAAAGGTGGCCTGGTATTTGGAGGTGCTCCCAATGCTTCAAAAAGGTCCCCGCAAGAGCCCCCTCCAGGTAGGTACAGCAATAGACCAAAATTAGATGATAACGTTCTCCTAAGTTTCTGGCATAGAGCCATTGCATTAAACTGTTCCGATGGCTCGGTGTTGCTCATACGTGTTAGATGTACATGTCACTCGGCGGGCAGCAGGGTCAAAGGCCTTGGAAAACGGTACGAACGCAGGCCGTCCAGACATGCTGGGACCGGATGGAACTACCTTTGCCGCGGCATGCACCCCCACGGGAAACGTCGATCTGTGACAGTTTCTATCGACGACGTGCTTGAATTACTTTAAGCCACTATTTTCCTTTGGCCGCGGTTGCTGGGCTCACGTGGCGGGTTCGATCTGGGGTTTTGCGGCGTCCTGCTCGGCGGTGCTGGTTACGCTGCCAGCCCTGGAACTCGGGCCTCGGAGTTCCGTCGCGCAGGCGTCGCTGGCCGTCCCTTTCGCTGCCCAGTGCTGTCCTCGTCCCCCTGTTGCACGGCCGTGGGGTGATGCTTCCCCTGCGGTGACCGCTGCTCAGGGGTCCGGCCCTTTAGTGTCTCAATGCGCGTCAGGGCACGGGAGAGGCAACTCCGTCCTCCCCGACCGTGCGCCCTGCCGTGGCTCTCAGGACTCTCTGGGCAGTGCCGTGTACAGCCGATGCTACCCAGTTGTCCCCGTCTAAGGCGTGTGGTGGAAGGTTCTCTTGTTGAGGGTCTGCAGAGGTTGCTGCGTAGTCAGGCTGCGGGCCCCTGTCCAGGTGTAGCTCGTTCCCCTTGGTTCGAGTGGGCCTGTGAGGGGCCACCCAGCGTTGGGTCTTTGGGCCAAGTCTCGCGCTCGCGCCTTGGCACACCCTTCGCTTCCGTGCGCAGCCGCTGCAGAGAATTGTGCATTCTCTCTGTTCGGCTGCACTCTGTCTCGCTGTCTTTCCTGGCTCTTCACTGTTTCTTGGTCGATGCAGGCCAGACAAGGGCTTTCAAGGCTTGCAATAGTGGCTCATGTCTTGTGCAACCGACGGATGCCCTGTTGTTCGGCCGAGCCGAGGGTCGATCCGTGAGGGGAAGGGGGCCATAGTGGGCGTTCCGAAAGGAACTCGCGAAATCCCCTCCCCGAAGCGGCGCTCGCCGAGGCGAGGTCGCCCAATTCTTTGCACCTGCTGCTCGGTGCATTTAGCTTACAGCATGTCTCACAGTTGTTGTAAGGAGTCGCCCATTTGGCTGATGTGGTGAAGCCGTGGAGGTCAAACAAAAATACCCCTGAGCGGCCGCCCGACCTGCGCGACCGTGCACGCGGGGTCTTTTTCGTGCGCCACTTCTGCTCTATACAAGCTCCCCGCTCCTTGGCGACACGCGGGGGCCACGAGAAGCAGGCAGAGAAGAGAGAGAGAAAGAGAGAGAGAGAGAGAGAGAGAGAGCCAGACCTGCGACGACACAAAAGATGTTTTTTTGGTTAAAAGATAAAAATGAATATGCGACGAAAGCAAACGCAACCCGTGAGGCAAATTGCTGGCGGTGTGCGGCCTCCCGGCACCCTCTCCGAATCACGGGGGAGCCACGCAGACCTGACGTCGGGACCAAAAAAAATAAACGCAAAGGCTGGGGCAGGCCGTGCGCCTCCAGACGTCCGGGGATGCCCGGGGGAAGCGCGGGGAGGAGGAGAGGACGCAGGGTGAGGCGAGGAGCGACAGCACCGACGAGGAAGGCGGCAGGCAGTACTGCGAGGAGGCAGCAGGGAGGGAAGGGGTCGAGAAGGACAGGGGGGAGGGGAGCACGATGAACAGGCAGATCGAGGAGTGAGGAGGCCAGATGGAGGGATGCGGGACGAAAGAACTGGAGAAACAAGGCTGACCTCGTGGCTCCTGGCAGCTCCAGGCCTCCAGGGTCGGCGGCACCGGCCGTAAGGCCATCGCAATAAAAGCATATTCAAAAAATTCTCAAGGATAATCAAACATGACCAAAAAAGCGTCCCCTGACAATGTTTGAACATTTTTGATATTCCTCCTGCAGGTGGACATGCCCGACTCAATGATGGCGGGGATCGTTCGATGTCGGCCGATTTTCGGGGCCACTGGCGGCCTTCGAGTTTGAACGTCCGCGCTGGTGTCGCCGCCGCGTCGACACGACACCAGCCTGCTGTATAGTTAGCACCCCGCTTCCTTAGAAAACGTCCCCGAACGAGCTACACTCTAGCCCGTGTGGACTCATGACAGCCCTGCACCGAATCAAAACAACTGAAGGATGCCTCCCCAACCAACACAACACGGTCAAGAGATCCCTCAGAGGCCGTAACATATCTGGCAAAGGCCCGAGCACGCCCCGACATCCTCCAAGAAGCCCCCAAAGAACGACCCACGAGGGCCTTGCCAGGCACCGAAACAGCATGATTACCCAGCATGATTACCGGCATGACGTGCCAGTCATGCGCCCGAAGGTGACTCCCTGAAGGTCCCAGACGGCCCGACCACGGCCACAGAGGACCCACGGCAGTTCTAGTACTGTCCCCCAACATGGCCCTAAATCAAATCACTCGCAGAGGCCAGACGACGGAAAACAGCCCGCGACCGCTCCAACAAGAGGACCCCGAGACCCGTCTGGACATCACCAACACGGTGAATCGAAGCACTCTGGGGGAGCCTCGTGCGACCACTGTGCCCAACGTCACAAGACACTCTATCACGCCCCAGAGGGGCCTCCCCAGCAGGCTCAAGAAGACCCGGGAGGGCTCAAGAGGCAACACACGAGCCCTCAAACAGCATTGGAGATGCGCCGAACATGAAACACAACAACACGCCACGCCAAGTAATCGAAACGCTACTTCCGAGACCTCAAGCGGCAGCCCGACGTCGTGTGAGCTCGCAATGGCCCACCACATACAACCACGGATATGCGGAGCCTGGTCGGTAGACATCGGTCGGGCCGTCCTGCATGTTTCGAGGCCGCGGTGGCAAGACTGCTGGGTCTGCCGCAAGGGACCTCCTCCCCTGACCTCCCAGGAGGGCTAAAACAACACCTAGACCCAGCTACCCAAATTCCAATCGTGGTTTTGAGCAGTCGAGACAGGTCTAGAGGTCTGGAGTGTTATCCTTTAGCACTCTGGAAAGTCAGGGTCCCCTTCCTTCGTGCTCCTGGCCTTCGCTCGGAAGTCCATTCCCTGTGTCTTTTGTTCGGTTTCGTGCGTGGCTTCTTCGCCAAATGATCAAAGGATGCTCCTCGATGGTCCTCGCCGAAGGAAAAATGCACACGTCCGAGCGATGCCAAGGCTCCCGACAACGATCGCCCTTGCGGATCCGCCGCCCCTCCCGCCAGCGCGACGGGCGGACGCCGAGAGAGCGGCGCCGGGGCCCTCCCGCCCTGGGGAGCCTCGTAGGTGCCGTCCTCGTTGGCGCGACGGACCGTCGCCTTCAGCCACTCCCGCGCGGTGCTGCTGTGGTACTCCACCACCTGGACCGGGCGCCGAGGGGCTTACGAGGCTTGCCATCGCTCGGACGTGCATGTCCCGTGCATGTTGCGGTTTCGTGCGTGTCTTTTTGTTGCTCGATGGTCCAGGATGGTCCTCGACGGTTCTCGCCGAGAAAAAAATACACACGTCCGTGCGATGCCAAGTCACGAGGGGAGATGCACGGGCGTGCTCCGGCAAGTGGCACCCGCTGTCCTGGGCACGCCCCTCCCACCAGCAAAACAAAATCGCGCGGGCACCACCCGCCGGAAGACGAGCAAATGAACAGAGGACCTAATGCTTGGGCAAGGAACGGCCGTCCCGGGGTCCCTATAAGCCTACCGCGAAATAGTCTTAGAACCCAACAAATGTTCCAATAACCAAGAAAATGCTCTTCGAGCATAGACCCGATATGTTCAAACAAGGCAGTCTCAGCCAGACATTGTCTAAGAACATTTCGTGCAGACCACGAAAAAATCTTAGAACAAAAGTTGGTGGGCCTATGGGCGAGCCGGGTCGCTTCACCACTGCTTGAACTAGATCATGTGCAGGGCACGTTTCCCTTTACAGTCCACCCTCCATCCTTCCCCCCTCCTCCCTCCACCTGGCACCTCGTAGCGTGAATGTTATCCTGAACGTTGCCTCCCCCCTCCACCTACTGTTCCCCCTCGTTTTCCTGCTTCCCATCCCTATCTCGCCCCATCTCTCCCCCGCGATCGGCTGCAAGGAAAACGACCACCAAGAAGATGGGGTCCTGGGGACGACTTTCGTGTCAACACCAGGGGCCTTCCCAGGATAGCATTTCTATCCCGAGACGTTGTTGTGACTTGGCAAAAAAGGCGCAATTTGAAGGGAGGAGAAGGAGCGGACCCCACCAAGCCATAGCCACACCGTGCAGCATGCCTGCTGAGAACACTGCAAGGCCGGCCAGGTCCGACCGCCATGGCACAACATGGCCCAACCCACCTGCTAAACAGGGCCGTGGTGGCAGCAGATCGGGGGGGGGCGACAGAGTATCAATGCCACGCCCCCCAGGCCCCATCGGCGTGTCACTGTCGATGCTACTGTCGGGTCCCATGCGGCGCCAGCGCCCCGACGCCTGTGGAGATGCTCGGGAGTGCATGCCCATGGCGGAGGGTCCGGCTGCCAGCGCGGGGGCAGGCCCTGCTCCTGATGCACGACGTGCGCTGCGCCAGGGGCAAGGCATCCGAATTCGCGGCGGTGGCGGCGCGGCGTGTGGCGCAGCTCCCCAGGGTGCCCGACTGAGTCGGGCGCCACCTCCGGGCGCTTGCGACTGCGCTGGTCGCCCGTGCCTGCACGTCAAAGGACAGCGCTGTTCTGCTCGGGCGACGGGCGAGGGAGCAACGTGCCGACGGGGGGCCCCGATGGGGCCCCAGGAGCCCCCGCGGTGGCGTGACATACTGATACTGTCTTCCACCCACCCCCTCTCCCGCACGACCGTGCAGCCCCCGGGGGCCCTTGGCAGGGCCGCGGGAGGCCGAGGGCCGAAAGCACGACGAGGGGGCTTCGGGGGGGGGGCGGGGGGGAGGCGAGCCCGCCGGGCCCCGCGGCCTCGGTCCAGGACGAGGACGGACGCGCCGCAGCGCGCTGCGCCTGATGGGCCCATTTTCCACCACCATTGCCATATGCAGGAGAGGGAGGAGGAGGGGGAGGAGGAGGAGGAGGGGAGAGGAGGAGGGAGGAGGAGGAGGAGGAGGAGGAGGAGGAGGAAGAGGAGGAGCAGGAGGAGGAGGAGGAGGAAGAGGAGGAGCAGGAGGAGGAGGAGGAGGAGGAGGAGGAGGAGATGCCCCTTCCCGTGCGCTCTCCTCTGCCTCGCCGTCCGCTCCTCCTCGCGCGCCCTGCTTCCTCTGCGCGCCTGCCCGTGCGTTCCTCGTGCGCTGCGTGCTTGTTTTGTGTTGTCTCTGTACGGAGGCGGGGCGCGCCCGCGGGCGCCGACGCCGCCCTGCCGCGACCTGCCGCCAGCCGGCCCCAGCGACGCGAAGGGGCAAGCGCGGCGGCGGCAGCTGCCAGAGGAGGGCGCGGCGCCAGGGTACCACCCCTAGGCGCTGGGGTCGGGTCGAGCATGTTCTCCCGCACGCAGAGCTCGAAAGAGGTATGCAACATTGTCCTCAAAAACAACGATAGTCTGATGGGCACGACAAATCGACCCCAGACTACAGTCATCCGTGATACTAGGGATGGGGCAACTTTCCAAGGCTACCCTTGCATCCTTGCCCCTTCGGTCTCCGGCATCCTTCGGCATTCTGTTGCGCTCCGCGCGGAGAACGGAAACATGGCGTTCCAAGGCCCTCGCATCCTTACGGCGCATCATTGTTATCCGGGTCGAGTGTACTGCTCGTGGTTGTGAATAGTTTTCCTGTGAGAAAGATATGCCCGAGTTCACGCTGCGGGTGCGGCGGGGGGGGAGGGGGCTCCAGGCATCGGCGGCCCACGGCAAGCCTTCGGCGGTTCGCAATCGAGGCCGCCGCCGGGGGAGAGGGAACAGTTTTGTCCAAACACTCTTGTGTTGGGTTCTGCGTTTGCATCGAACACCGCACGTTCGCCTCCCCCTCTCAACCTTCTCCTTCTCCGGCCCCTCCTCCAACGTTTCCTACCGCCTCCCCCGCGCGTTCTGTGCTGCATCATCCTGCGTGGTCCGTCGGAGGCTGCGAATTGCGCAGCCGTGGTCCATCTCGTGGGTTCCTGGGAGGTCCAGCGGAATGGACGCGCACGCGCACTCAAACGATACTTCGCGGCTCCCCGGGTGGCTGCGCACTGCGCACCTGTGGCCAATTTCGTGACTTCCTGGGTGGTCCATCGGGGTGCAGTTTAACGCGCAGCCCGACGATACTTCGCGGCTCACTGGGTGGCTGCGAAATGCGCAACGATCGCCACTTTCGTGGGCTCTTGGGAGGTTCACCGGAGTGGGATTGCTCGCGCACCCAACACAGACTTCGCGGCCCCGAAGGCGACTGCGAATGGTGCGGGGTTGAATCCCACGCGCACCCAATCGAAAACCTGCAGCACTCTGGGGGTTGCGACCTGCGACATTGTCGCAATTTGCGCTGGTTCTTGGGAGGTCCAGCGGACGCGAGGTCGGGGCAATCGCTGCGAGACCTCGCTGCTCCCTGGGAGGCTGCGAACTGCGAAACGGGCGCCAGTTTCGTGGGTTCCTGGGAAGCACGGCGGAGGCGACTGCAGCGTAAATCAATTCGAAACCTCGCGGCTCCCTTGGAGTGCGCGAGCTGCGCAACTGCCGCCAGTTTCGCGGGTTCCTGGGAGGCACGGCGGCGGCGAGGCAAGCAAATGTGGTAACTGGCGGCTTCTTTGGGGGTTGCGAGCCGTGCGGCTGTCGCTGGTCCCGTGGGTTCCTGAAAGCACGGCGGAGGTAAGGGCAGCGCAAACAATTCGAGACCTCGCGGCTGCACTGGGGGCTGCTAAGTTCGCAACGCTCGCCGCGCAAATTGGTTATAGGGAAGCACGACGGAGCGCATGGAAACGCAAATCATTTGAGACCTCGCGGTTCCGTCCGGGGCTGCGAACTGCGCGACTGTTGTTGCGTCCGCGGTTTCCTGGAATGCACGGCGGTTTCGGGGGCAACGCATGTCATTCGAGACCTCGCGGCTCCTTCGGGGGCTGCAAACTTCGCCACTGTTGGTGCTGCCGCGAGCTATTGCAATGACCCGAGGGCAACGCGAATCATTCGAGACCTCGCGGCTCCTTAGGGGGCTGCGAACTTCGCAACTGTCGCCGCTTCCAGGGGCTCCTGCGAGGCACGGCGGTGTCAAGGGCAACGCAGATTGAGTCCTCGCGGCTCCTTTGTGGGCTGCGGGCTGCGCAAGTGTCCCCAGTTTTGCGGGGTCCTAGACTGCACGGCGGAACGCAAGGCAACGCAGAGCATTTGAGACCTCACGGCTACTTTGGGGGCTGCGAACGGCGCAACCGCCACCGCTTTGGCAGGCTCCTGGGCGGCAAGGCGGAGCGCGAGGCGCCCACGTGGCGCGTGCCCCCATGGCGCGTGGCGCCGTCGCGTCGTCTAGCGCGCTTTGCCGTTGCATCACACAGCGCAGAGCGCCAGAACGTCAAGTAGCGCACGGCGCTGTCCTCATCGGCGGCCCACTCCTGCGCAGGTGTGCGACGAACGTGGCCCGACATTGTAAGGCGAAGATTGTCATAATACTGCGTGCCTCGCTTTGTGTGTTCTGTTCTGCTATGTGGAGCTTTTATACGAGTAGTCGCCTGAGGTGGAGAAGGGTTTTGGTACAACTCGGGCATATTAGAAGCGCAAAGAAGCCCTGTGGCACGGAGGGGACGGGGAACGGGGGAACGGGGGGAGAGGGGAAAGGCGGGGAGAGGGGGAAGAGGGAGGGGGGGAGCTCAGGAGGGGGGGACATCGAGCCCGCATCGGCAACACATCGCCGGTAACTCGGCGAGAGGCTCCCGTGGGCCAAACCGCAGCTTCCTGGGCAAGGAGGGCGATCAGGCCCTCCAGGGCGACGGGCGTGCGTTCGGAGCGTTCCCACCCCTGGGCCCATCCGCCCCCCCCGCAGTTGCCCCCAATGAGGCGTCCCTGGGGCCCTTGGGGGGGGGGCGGGCGCTCTGTCGCAGAGCTGCGGCCGGGACGGCGACGAATGGGAGCTCAGGGGCCGAGGTGTTCCCATCCCTAGGCCCATCCCCCCCCCCGCACTTGCCCCCGACGGGGTGCCCCTGGAGGCCTGGATGAGGGGGGGGAAGCTCTGCCGCCGAGGCGGAGGTTGGCAGCGCGACGGGAGGAAGAGGAGGAGAAAGAGGAGGAGAAGGCGGATGAGCAGGAGGAAGAGGAGGAGGAAGAGGAGGGGGGAGGAGGCGGAGGAGGAGGAGGAGGAGGAGGAGAGGAGAGGAGGAGGAGGAGGAGGAAGGAGGAGAGGAGGGAGGAGACGAGGAGAGAGCAGGGACGGAGGGCGACGACGAGGAGGAAGAGCAGGAGGAGGAGAGGATGAGGATATGAGAAGGAGGAGGAGGAGGAGGAGGCCCTGCTGGGCTCTGCCGCTGAGGTGCGACCGGTGCCGCCTGCCCCACGGTGAACTCCTCGCACGTGGCCGCGCCGCGGCCGCCCGCTCCCCTCGCCGCGGCGGTGCGGGCGGAGGGGCGCGCCACGGGCACCCGCCCTTCGCCCGGCGCCTCTTGCGCCGCCCTGCGTCGCCCTGCTGCTCCACGCCCGTCCTCCTGCTGCTCAACGCCCGTCCTCCTGTGACTTAGTTACCCATCCATGGGAGGATGATGAAAAGGAGGAGGAGGAGGAGGAGGAGGAGGAGGAGGAGGAGGAGGAGGAGGAGAAAGAGGAGGAGGAGGAGGAGGAGGAGGAGGAGAAGGAGGAGGAGGAGGAGGAGGAGGAGGAGGAGGAGGGGGGGGCGGATCCCGAGGACGGCGCAGCACGATGCACAAAGAGGGGGGGGGAGGGGCAAGGACGGAGCGGGCGACCCGCTCATCAGAAGGATGCACGACAAGGATGTAAGGGCCTTGGACGCCCAGTTCGAGGCTCCTCGAGCGGGGCGCGGCCAACGCAAGTGGCCAAGGATGGACCGAGGAGGCAAGGATGCAAGGGTACCCTTGGGATGATTGCCCAGTCCTACTATGCGGGCTGACTGGAGTTCGTCGTCCTCTTACTTACTTGCCCATGCATGGGAAGCGGACCCTGAGTACTGCGCGACACGATGTGCAAAGAGATGGGGGGGTGAGGGGCAAGGACGGAGACGGCTACCCGCTCTCCAGCCGCTGGCCCAGCATGGGCACAAGGCCATCGGCCAGGCCGACGGCCCCACGGGCGGCAGCAGGAGCGGCCCGTTTCTGTGCCCCCTCCTCGCGCTCGTCCCCCTCCGTCTCTCCCCCTCTTCCCCTTCCTCATCCTCGCACTCGTCGTCGCCGTCGCAGCCCTCCTCCTCCTGCTCCAGCTCCCGCGATGGGGATACCTCAGATGTTCCCTAAGAGGCGCTGATCGTTGGCCACGCTGGAACTCCGAGGCCCCTCTTCTGCTCTGTCGTGTGGCCGCCGCTGCCAGGCCTCGGCAAGGCAGGCCGGTGCAGACCCGACGCGTCGGGCGGGGCGAGGCTCCAAGGAGAGGCCTCGGCATCGCCCAGCGACGCGCTGCGCACCGCAGGGAGGGCCTCGTCCTCCCGAGGGAGTCGTACCCCACGTGGTTTCTGTAGGGTCCCTCTCCGTCGTCCTGGCTGGGGCTCCGCCCCCGTCGCACCCCTCCAGCTCCACCGCCTCCTCTGGCCCCCCCTCTCTTTGCTGCTCGTCGCCCACGTGCTCGAAACTTCATCTCTGAAAACTGACTCCCATACGCAATTATTCGAGGAGTGTAGAGTCCCGCCCCGTCCGAGAAATTTCTGGCCGTCTCCTTCGTGACATCCTCAGAAGACTGAACATCGGCCGCGCCCCTCACGCAGATCGCGACGCCACGGGCCTAAAACTCGTCAGTTCTCAACTATTGTCACAGACGCCCTTCAGCAAAACACACAGTGGAATCATGATGTTGAGCCCGATCCTTCGACACCTTTGCACATCGCGCACACACACACACACACACACTTCCTGCACACGTGTTGTATGAGCCTGGGCACGCACGTGTCACTCGGTACTGTTGATCCCTCTCCTGCGCGGTGCCCGTTCTAGTTTTAAGTCGGGCCTGTCCTCCTACAGGAGGATTTTGGACGAGAAATAAAAAATAGTCCAACAATACCACCAAATTGTCGAACAATGATAAAAAAAATCGTCCACTGACTATTTTTTGACTATTTTTGAATATTCCTCCTGTAGAGGGACACGCCCGACTAAATTCTAGTTGTTTTTGCAAAGTGCTCCTCGCCGCGGGGGAGTCTTGAGGCTCAGATAGGGCGGCGGGCCCCAGGTCTACGGCAGCAGCGGCTCCCGCCTGGTACGTCCTCACGCGTTATTCAAGATCGAACTCTCGCACGTGGACTTCCTCACATGTTGCCCCTCTCGCGTGGGACGCCCTCTCAACGTCTTGAAACGCCGCGCCCTCGACACTCAGGAGTCATGCTCTCACTCTGGACGTCCTTGAACTTCTCTTGCGAATCGCACTATCGCTCGAGATTTCTCGCGATCCATGCACGTCTGATGCTTCAACGACCCGCCCGCTGGACACGGCCGTCTGGGTCAGCCCGCCCGACCCGCCCGACAGGGTCCACCCGCCCGACCCGCCCGCCTGGTTCTGCCGCTTGTTGTTCCGCTCTTGGTATTCCTCCTGCTAATCTCTCTCGCGCTGCATCCGTCTCTCTCCCCCTTGTCCCTTCCCTCCTTCCTCGTTTCCCCATTTTAGGGGCTGCGCGAACCACACGTGGCGTTGAAGGAAGATCTACCCCAAGTGAGGTACGATCGAAGACGACGAGGGTGGGTATCGAAGGCTTCGGATATACATGTTGATTGACTCGCGAACATATAAGAGCGAACAATCATACAATGAAAACTGCTGCTGTTGCTGCTGCTGCTGCTGCTCCTCCTCTTGCTCCTCTTTCTTGAGTAGCCGCCGCTTCTGCTCAAGCCACCTTTTCAGCGGCCAAGCAGGCACCCCGCGCAGAGCAGCTCCGCCCGCAGAGGGCGCCTTCCATGACATGCCAGCCTGGCTGGCCTCCATACTTTTCATGACGATCTGGATCGTTATGTCGTTCCTCCGAGGGGAAGTATATCATCCAAGCTCGCTGCTGGCGCTGCATCGCCGCCTCATGATCAGCCACGCCCCCAGCACCATGGACGTGCCGCTGCCCCCAGCTATGCATTGGCAACTGCGCGACGCCAGCTCAGAGGCCGACCAGCTCAAAACTCTCGAGCACGACGTCTACACGTGGGGCTATGGCCGCGGACCGCTCACCAATAGTCATGATGGAAGAGAGACCCTGGTGAGCCACCAGCGGTTCGGTCCGCGAGCCGTCGTCGATATCAAGAGCCCGCCCAAGCAGATACAAGGATGCGCTGGTGCTCTCCGCCTCCAGAGGGGCGACTGCGACCTCGCCTTCAACGTGGCCTCCTTCTCGCGTCGCTCGGGGCTAGTGGCAAAGTCCATCCAGTGGGTCACAACGGTCAAAGAGAAGCACAAGTGGATCAACAGTACGCTTCGTGCCACACCGACGTGCAGCACACCGTCGATAGGCATGGACTTCAAAGATCATCAATATGGAGCTGACGGACGCATTGCAGATGAAGTTCAAGAGGCCTTCGGAGACTCACAACTACACGGTCGGCCAGGTGAAGCAGCAGCCTCCTGCTATAGCATGATGGACGTTGACGGATTCCGCCTCCCCAATACTTCTGGCAGACTGGCCCTACCTATTTTGGTGCAGTAGGACAAGCTACGAGACCTGACTACCTCGCGGTATCCCAAGGGCTATTGCAGAATCTCCAGATATGCGGTATTTGGTGGCAGGCAGTGAAAGAGGTCCAGCAGCTCAAGGACAGCGTGCCGAAGGACCCCGTGCCACTCATCGCCAGGGCCGGCATCGTCATGCCCAATACCTTCTCAGAAATCATTCGGACGATATGGGATTACGACAAAATGGCAGAGTTTCTACAAACTGGTGATCATCGCAATGAGTTCATAGCAGCCCTCGCGACATCGCTGGAGAACTACACTGATACCATCCGCGAGCCCAAAGAGCAGGGCACCACATACATCCAAGGGAAGTTTCTGATCGACAAGCTCACGACCACAGCCAAGCCCTACGTCGAGAGAAACCAAAAAAAGCCTGGTACCTGCAAGCAGCTCATGGCCGAGAAGCTCGAGCTCCTGAAGAAAAGTGCGGAGCTACGCAAGCAGTACATCGGCGCAGAGATTGATCTTGGCATCGGAGAGAAGCAGGACACACGCACGAGAGCTATCAAGAAGCAGAAGCAACTTCGCTACGCAGTACGCAAGAGAGTATCAGAGGCACAGATCTCTGAGGCACGGCAAAAAAGGCAGCACGTTGAGAGACATCGACTCAACAGGTGCACGGCAGGCACCAATCACGGCAAGAGGAACCGCAACTAGCGGGGGAAAGACTTGAACATAGCTTCTGTGTCTGGAAATGATGTTGGCGAATGCCCGATCATTGAATAATGGCGAAGACCGACCCCCACCAGAAGGCCGGACACCGGACACCAAACATTATCAAGATCGCCCAGCGTGCTGCTGCGAGACATCCCATACGTCATGCTCCAGGTCGCCCACGGAAAACGTCAAGAAACGGCCAAAGAGGGGCACCAAAAAGAACAAACCTGAACAAACCGATAGATGAACGACGTGCCATTCCCGTAGATGCGCGCTCGCGGGTCGGCAACCGCGCGCAACGCCATCCGCCGCACCACGCGAGACCAACGGCTCCGGAATTATTTGTCCTTACTCTGCGTTCTCCCTGGATGGTGAAACCGCTAAAGTCCAGGAGTGGATGGAAGGAGGGTGTGCTGACTTTGCTTCCACTCCTGGTGGAAGGGGATGAGGCGGGCAAGGAGAGGAATGACATGCCAGGAGTGGCTTGAGGGACACAGATGTCGGTGCCAAGCCACGTTGGCACAACGAAGCGCTGATAGGTTAAGGGTGCACCACGGAGGGCGGCGAGGCTGCCTGTCTTGCCGCACCCCCTGGCGCAACCCTCTAATTAACGTTGCGGCAAGACAGTCTGTCTATACGCACTCTGTCAGAGTGCGGACTGCAGGAGCCATGATGAGTAGGAGCACGAGGCTGGAGGAGAAGATTCAGCGTGGATCCGAAAAAGAAAAAACGCCATAAGCATACACTGTTGGCGCTCCGCGCGAATTTCGTGGATCCGCGCTGGACATTCCTCCCTGACGCGCGGAGCGCGCCAATGGGCGGCGCCATAGGCGCCGCCCAGGGGGGGGGGGTGGAGCGCGGATCCCAGAAATCCGCGCGGAGAACCAAGAGTTTATGTTGATTGCGTTTCTTCTTCATGATTCGGCGTGTATGAGCAAGAGACGGATGCATCAATCGGGGAGACGAAAGACTCGGGTACGGGGGACTCGGGTTGGCCTGACGGGGCCATCATGATAATGACGAGACCCAATCAGAAATTTGACGCGGGCTCCCGCTGCGAGCCCACGAAAACCGGACCGTGAAAATCCAGGACGCGCTCGTCGAAAAACTTCGGCAACCCCGAGTTCTGGTCAACTCGAGTCTTACGTTTCCCCGAATCATCGGCGGTGGACAAACCTCCCTTTCGTAAACCTCCCCTTTGTGAAAACGGCCTGGGACCGGGATCGACGGACCTGGACCCGCAAAATGACGGCCGCGACGCCCTCTCGCGAACCGAAAACGGCCAAGTCCCTAATCGACATGTCAGGGTAGGGGGTCTATCAATCTCCGACTTCCCCGAATCAAGAAATCGAGAACGCAAGCGCTGGACCGTGCGAGGCCGACGTCTGGGCTGTGCTCCTCGCCCTCCTCCGCCACGCCGAGGGCCGCGGCGACTGCGCGCATCCTGCGGTGGCCGCTCTCTTGCCATGCTGCTCCCCTCGCACACACGAGCCTACTCCTACTACTACTGCTACTGCTACTCCTACTCCTACTCCTGCTCCTGCTCCTGCTCCTTCTCCTCCTCCTCCTCCTAATCCTCCTCCTCCTCCTCCTTCTCCTAATCCCCGCCCCCCAGAAATAATCTCAAGCACGCTTGCAAAGCCTCGAAACAGCTTCGAAAGAGTATCGCCTCCCAGGGCCCCACTCGTGAAAAATCTCCAGTTTCGGCACTTCCTTGGTACTCGAAATCCTTTCTGGTGGCCAAGGCGGAAGTAGGTTGGAACATCATAACCCTTGGCATGGGCATCCACTGTTAGAGCACGAGGCGGGGGCGGAGCAGGTGCAGGCGCGGGACGAGGGCGAGGAACCGAGCGGGAGAGGCCGGATCGGAGGGAGAGGGAACGAACGAACGAAAGAAGCCGCGCCCAGACGGCGCATTGGCAAGCTAAATGACAACACATGCGATCAGGGAAAATGAAGGGCAGGAGCGTGCAAGCGCTCAGGCATCGCCGTGCCACGGAGGCACAAGAGGGGGGGGGAGACGTAAGACTCGGGTACGGGGGACTCGGGTTGGCCCGACGGGGCGATCATGAGCATGACGAGGCCCAATCTGAAATTTGACGCGGGCTCCCGCTGCAAACATCCCATAAAAACCGGACCGTCAACATCCAGGACGCGCTCGTCAAAAAACTTTGGCAAACCCGAGTTCCTGCTTACTCGAATCTTACGTTTACCCGAAAGAGGGGGAGAGGGATTCTAGTCTCCGGGACTGGTGCTTCGTCGGGAACTGCATGTGTCGCACAGCCCTGGCGTTAGGTCGGGCGTGTCCTCCTACAGGCGGATTTGGGACGAAAATGAACAAAAACACATTTTTCGTTTACAAAAAAAAAACCACCAGACCATTATTTCACGATTGTTGAATGATCCCTCCTGTAGAGGGACAGGCCCGACTTAACCCTGGCGTGGTGACCGCATCGGGTCAGATGTGGAGGAGGCGCGCGAAGAGGACGTGAACCGGGGAATGAAGACGGACAAGCGCCATACACAAAACTGTCAGAGGTTGGCGCGGATTTCCTGGATCGGCGCGGAGAGCGTCAGGGGGACCCAGCGCCGATCCGAGAAATCAGCGCGGACATCCGAAATATTATGTAAATTTGCCAAGGGACCAACCGTCCCAACATTCCTAAAGCACACTACGACATGGTTGTAGAGTCCAAGAATGTTACGAGAACAGAAACACATTTCTTAGAGCATAAACCCGATGTGTCAAAGCACGGCAGCCTCGGCCAGAACTGGCCTCAGAACATCTCGCGCACCACATCAAGATCTCGGACACTTTTTTACACTTTTTGGTGGGCCCCTGTGCAAGCCGGGACGCTGCGCCCTTGCTTGAATCATTGCTTGTTCCCCGAGTGTGTGCGGGGTGTAGCTGAGTTGGCCCCAGAAGCGGCAGGGCCGTGTTTTCACCATTCTCGTCAAAGAATATCTTGAAGATGGAGACGGTAAAAAAAACGGCTACCTGAATGGGATTGGAACCGGATCCAGAACCGGCAACCAGACGACGAGGGAACTGGCAACAAACACGGCGAAGGAACCGCCCAAAGAACGGCAAAACGGCACCAGTGACAAAACAGCCCTGTCGTTTCCAGGGCCCACTAAGGGGTGGCGTTAAGTCGGGCAGGTCCCTCTATACAGGAGGAAAATTTCAAAAAATGCCAACACATAGTCTGGGGACGATTTCTTGCATATGTGTGTTGGAATATTCTGGGTGTATATTTTGAGTATTTTGACTTCTTCACTCAAGCTCCGCCTGTAGGGGGACATGCCCAACTCGGGCCAGGCGAAAGGGGGGGATAGCAAAAGGGGGGTGTGAGAATCAGCTCACGTAGCTGATTTTCCCGGCGCATCCCAGCGCCAGAGGCGGCCATGTATCGAGGAATGGGCCACTCGGTGGGGCTGAAACCAGCTGCACGCAGCAGATTTCGTAACCCCCCCTTTCCCAATCTCCCCAAGTCGTCTGGCCCGACCAACTAAGGGAACAAACAATGACATAAACATATAAGAACCCGGAGGTCCGCGCAGATTTCCCGAATCGGCGCTGGACTCCCCTCCCTGGCGCGCGGAGCGCGCCAGGGGCGGCGCCGAAGGCGCCGCCAGGGGGGTCCAGCGCGGATCCGAGAAACCCGCGCGGACCTCCGGGTTTTTATATGTGTGTGTCATTGCTCGTTCCCCGACCAACCTGCGGGCGGAGGCGAGGGAAGGGGAAGGGGCCCTGAGACACACAGATAAATACACACAAACATAACAGGATTCCCCATAGTTGTTTTCCCAGATGTTCTGGGTCTTTGTCTTCCCCCCCACTTCCCATATTTCCCCAGATTCTCCTGGGAGTCGACGATTCATTATGTCTGTGTGTGTGTCTGTGTGTGCGTCTGTGTCTGTGTCTGTGTCTGTGTCTGTGTGTGTTTCTCTCCCTCCCGAGAAGGGCAGGACGCCCGCGCAGGCCGCCGCAGGCCGGCCGCAGGCTCGCCGCCGCCGGGGCGGCCCTCTGCGCCCGCCGCCTGCGCCGCCGGGGCTCGCCCTCCTCAGGAGGAAAAGAGACACACAGACACAATGAATCCTCCATTCCCCCGAAAAGATGGGAAACTATGGGAAGTGGGGGGGGAGACAAAAACCCAGAAACCATGGCAAAAAAATGGGGAATCTTTTTTTGACGTGTGTGTATCTATTTGTGTGTCCTGGGGCCCCTTCACCCCTGGGCCCGCGCGGCGCGCCCCCCGCGCGCCCCGCCGCGGGCGAAGCAGGCGGCACGGCGGGAGCCCTCGAGCTGCGGCGGTGCTCGAGCTTCGGCACTCTCTCGAAGCTCGGAATTCGCTCGGGGGGTCGAGCGTGCGAAGGACCCAGGGAGAAGCTCGAGCACCCAGAAAGGTATATCGAAACGGTGTCGTCGAAGGGTTCTCGCCTCCCAGAGCCCGACACGTGAGAAACCTCGAGCTTCGGTGCTTCCTTTCTCGAAGCCCGGATTTGTTTCTGGCGGTCCATGCTAAAATAATAGGTTGGGGCATCACAGCTCCCGCGCTGTCCCCCCCCTCCTTGCTCTCGCCCGACAGATTGCCGAGGAGAGCAGGCCAGGTAAGCTGTGCCGCTGACTGCAGCGCAGGCCAGTGCACAAGAAACCTCCCACAAGAAAAGCCCAATCCTGAGGCCCCAGGACGTCCATCGATTTCTTGGCATGGGAGCGTCACGCTTCCCAAGGCAAGAGCACCGAAACCCAAGAAGCCCAGGGCACCCTGGAGGCAGGCAGGGTGTTTCTTGGCATGGGCCTCCACTGTATACTTGAACGGCTCTCCCGCCGGCGGGGGTGCCCGTCCCAGGGAGGCTGGGCGAAGAGAGAGGGGCCCAGGGACACACACACACAGATGAATAGTCACACATCCCAGGATCTCCCTTTATATTATATATATAATTGAAAAACAAATCGATAAGCAAAACAAAACATAAACAAATCCGCCGGCCCCCGTGTGGGGCCACCAGGCTGTAGGCCCGTGATTCGCAGTTTCCTGTACCAGTTGTAGCTTGTAGTTTCCAGTGTTGCAGTTCTGCTTATTGCTGGTTACTGTAACTAGTTGATTGACCGCGCGCGGGGGGGGGAGGCCCAAACGGGACTTTTTAGCACCCCCTGGGCGCGTTGTCTGAATTGCTGGGGGGGCTCGAGATCGACACCCCTCACGCAGATCCGCGAGGTCAGGGTCCAAAAACACAGGGGATTTGCCACATTTCTAGAATTCGGTGCCACCCCTCACGCAGATCCGTGGGGTCAGGGTCAAAAAACATATGGGATTTGCCACATGTCTGAAATTCGGTGCCACCCCTCACGCAGATCCGCGGGGTCAGGGTCCAAAAACACTTCGGATTTGCCACATTTCGGAAATTCGGTGCCACCCCTCACGCAGATCCGCGGGGTCAGGGTCAAAAAACACATGGGATTTGCGACATTTCTGAAATTCGGTGCCACCCCTCACGCAGATCCGCGGGGTCAGGGTCCAAAAACACATGGGATTTGCCACATGTCTGAAATTCGGCGCCACCCCTTTACGCAGATCCGCGGGGTCA